GATAAACCTTCATTATTGAATCAAGTTACATATTCTCATAGGGTCTCTTTGGATACGTGTTTAATGGAAAGCAGGACTTCATTTATTTTTTGAAACTAGATTTTTAATGTTTCATTATTGTATTTTAAGTTTTAAAACTTTTTATTTATTTTTATGTTACATTTATACGGTGGATAATTATGGTATAAAGTATGAAGGTCGAAGGTTTCATTTTGAAGCTAGTATATTGTTTTTGTAAGGGAGACTTGGAAATGCAGTAGAAAGAGCAATTTCACTCCCCTTTGGTCAATAACTAAGTTTCTTTGCAATTTTATATAGTTTATATTACATGTTTGAAATCATTCCAGCTTATTTGTTTATGAAGTGGTTTGAATTTTAAACAAATGTTCTTGATTTGAGATATTTGATCAGCAAGATAATCCAAATTTTATTTTCCTTAAATAATTTCTTATTACGTGTAGTCAGAGTGTGTCAGCAAGAAGGTTGAACCCTGAAGGGGGTGGACATGAGTCGGTATGTCAGCAAGGACGTTGGACCCTGAAAGTGGATGAATTAGAGGGTCCCACATCGATTGGAGAAGGGAACGGGTGCCAGCAAGGACACTAGGCCTCAAAAGGGAGTGGTTTGTGAGATCTCACATCGGTTAGGGAGGAGAACGAAGCATTTTCTATAAGGGTGTGAAAACATATCCTTAACAAACGCATCTTAAAAACAACGAGAGAAAGTCGAAGTATAAATATTCTCTTTAGGAAAGAAGAAGATGTTGGGCATTAACTTTTTCCAAAAGGATCTCTCTTTCATAGAAGAAGTTGGGAGTGAATCATGAGGCTGAAAGAGGGCTAACAGGAGAGCGATTGTCCACGTGGTTGGTGACCAAGTGGAGTAGCGGATGAAGAACTCGTTTCTCATTGGTCCGAAATCTATCCAACACCCTCCCACAGATTTCCCCTCCAGATTCTCATCAACACACATGGCTCCATTTAAACCCACAATTCAATTCACAATATCATAAAACAAAGCTCACTACATACCTGAAACTTCCACATCTCAGAAGAAGCCATGGCTGCAACTTCTGGTGCTCTGCTTAATGGGTTGGGCTCACCCTTCCTCCATGGAGGTAGCAGAACCCAAACCTTGCTGGCCGGTGCCAGAGGCGGTGTCAATGTTGTCAGCTCCCGCAAGCTTGTCATCGTCGCTGCTGCTCAGCCCAAGAAGTCTTGGATCCCTGCTGTTAAGGGTGGCGGCAACTTCATCGACCCGGAATGGCTCGATGGCTCGTATGTCTCTCTTTACTGCTTTTGTTGTAAAATTTTCGGTCACTGTTTAGAACCTGCTGATGGAAGAGGCAATTTATCACACTTTCTGAGCAATTAGTGTTTAGAATCAAGAAGAGACGGTTCATCGAACACTTTCTAGGCAATTGCTGTTTTCAATAGGCATTTTATCACACACTTTCTAACCGATATAGATATTGTTAGGAATCACGATTCTATACAATGGTATCATATTGTCCACTTTCAGTATGAGCTCTTTTGGACTTCCCCAAATGACCTCGTACCAATGGAGATGTATTCTTTCCTTATGAACTCATGATCATTCCCTAAATTAGCCAACGTGGGACTCTCTCCCAACAATTCTCAACGACCCTCCCCTCAACAAAGTACACTATAGAGCCTTCTTTGAGACCTATGGAGCCCTTAAATAGCCTCTCCTTAATCGAGGCTCGACTCCTTCTTTGGAGTCCTTGAACAAAGTACACCCTTTGTTCAACATTTGAGTCACTTTTGACTACAGCTTCAAGGCTCACAACTTTTCTGTTCGACATTTGAGGATTCTATTGAAATGGTTAAATTAAGGGCATGACTCTTATGTCAATGTTATGAATCTCAACTCACCGCAATGGTATGATATTGTTCACTATGAGTATAAGCTCTCATAACTTTGCTTTGTACGGGACTCGTACCAATAGAGATGTATTCCTTATTTATAAACTCAAGATCATTCTTAACTATTCTCAACAATTACTCTAGAGAAAACATGGAAGAGGCATTTCATCAAACAGTTTCTAGGCCAATTCAAAACTCTGAAAGAGACATTTCATCAAACAGTTCATAAGCAATTACCTGTTTGGTTTCTACAGACTACCAGGCGACTACGGCTTCGACCCACTGGGGTTGGGGAAGGATCCAGCATTTCTGAAATGGTACAGAGAAGCAGAGCTAATCCACGGGCGGTGGGCAATGGCAGCAGTGGTCGGAATCTTCATCGGCCAGGCCTGGAGCGGGATTCCATGGTTCGAAGCCGGAGCCGATCCGTCCGCAATCGCTCCATTCTCCTTCGGATCCCTGCTCGGAACCCAGCTTCTGCTAATGGGATGGGTCGAGAGCAAACGATGGGTAGATTTCTTCAACCCGGAGTCTCAATCCGTCGAATGGGCAACGCCATGGTCGAGGACCGCAGAGAACTTCGCAAACGCAACGGGAGAACAGGGGTACCCAGGAGGGAAATTCTTCGATCCATTGGGATTTGCGGGAACTCTTAAGGATGGAGTTTATATTCCAGACACGGAGAAATTGGAGAGATTGAAGTTGGCGGAGATCAAGCATGCTAGAATCGCCATGTTAGCTATGCTCATCTTCTACTTCGAAGCTGGACAGGGGAAGACGCCATTGGGGGCTCTTGGATTGTAGAAAATAATTCGTTGATGTGAAGGAAAAATTGTTCATATTTTCACTAAAAAAGTCTTTGGGATTGAACATGTTTTGATGAATTTGAGATAGATTTTGAAGGGGTTTTTGAATTAACAACATCATCTATCAATTTATTAGCATTTGACTTCAACTTTTGAGTTAATCCATGATTTGATATGATATCGGAATGTTGTCTACTTCTCAAGCCATCACATATAGCTCGTGCATCCATCTACACGCACACACACGCATCAACTGTCTAGCCTCCCGCTCGCTTGGCCTCGTGACACCCAACTCTTTCACGTTCTATGTCATAGTCTGGTAGTCTGTTGTCATGGCTAAAATGTTTCAAAAATACTATAGATGGATGCGACTAATTGTTAATTTTTCCTACCCTGAGTTATATGTTATCAACGTAGTTCTTGTCCGACATCTAATAATTATATGTCACCCCGTTATCCGAGATTCTGATATTCACTCACTTTCCTTAAAGTAATATCGACTCTCGATCCTTTATACTCGAAATTTTGATATCCAAATCTCTTCCTTTAATCACAATGCTAGTTGGTTTAGTTGGTGAAGACACGAATCATGTGGATAATATTTTGACATTCCTATACTGTATTAAAGCTGAACTCGAACCATTACAATATTTGTAATGAATAATTGTATGTAACACTAATGTAAATAAAGTCATTTCAGACTAGTCTAGACAGCTTGAGTCTTTCTCGGTTTTGTTAATTGTAATGGGTCCTAAATTTTGAGAATCCCTCACAAATCCGTAACGATAGAAATAAGTACTCCTCCATTCTCGGGAGCCGCCGTCATCTTTCTAGAGATATTGCTATCGCTTTTCATAGATGTAACAACTTAACGCTCATTGGTGCTATTGCTTTCACCATGGTCGCTACTTTTGTTGTCCATTTCAATATCAAGAGAGAATGTTGTGTTTAGAGATGTCTGCGGGGCATGGACGCGACTTTCCCATTCCTGTTTCCGTCTCTAAATAAAAAGGGAAAACACTGAATACTCCATTTTGAGTATTTTTTTGTAACGACTTTCTTGTACGTAAATTGGATAGTCATTCTTGATCTAGGCTCACCGCGAGCAAATATTGTTCTCTTTGTACTTTCCTTTTCGGACTTATAAATGGTGTTCTCCTCCCCAACCAATGTGGGACATCATAATCTAACCCCCTTTGAGCCTAGTGACACAATCGCACTTTTAAAGGCAGCGGACTAGCGATTGTGCGGCACTCACTTTCCAACGACAAGTGAGCTAAGCCAATTTGTACTTGCGTCCCCTACGGCAAAGCGACGTATGATCAAGCCTCTAGCCTCGGTTTTAAAAGAAGGTTTTGGAAAACGAGGGTAGAGAGAGATTTTAGAAAGAGAGATTTTTGAAAGAGACTTATATAAGCAAGCAAGAGAGAGATAACAACGGCTTAGCATATATAACCTTGGGTAGGGAGAAGTTGACAACTAGTCATATCCCCCTATAGTACATTTTGAGGCATTTCATGTCTGGCAGGCCTAGACATGATATTTTTGAGGCGTCATACGCCCTAGAACTACAAAAGTAAAAACACTAGAATGAAAATACATGACAAGGGTTTGGCTTGCCATAGGCATGCGGCCATGGGCAACACGCCCTGGACGAGCATGACCGTGACACCTAGCATACTCGCTGACACTCTTTCCTTCCTCCAATCGATGTGGGACCGCCTCCAAATCCACCTCTCTTCGGAGAACAGCGAGAAAGCTGACACATTGTCTGGTGTCTGGCTCTGATACCATTTGTAACGACCCTCTTTCCTTCCTCCAATCGACGTGAGATCGCCTCCAAATCCACCTCCCTTTGGAGAACAGCGAGAAAGCTAGCACATCGTTCGGTGTCTAGCTCTGATATCATTTGTAACGACTCAGACCCACCGATAGCAGATAGTGTCATCTTTGGGCTTTCCATTTCATGCTTCCCCTCAAGGCTTTAAAACATGTCGGCTAGGGGAAGGTTTCCACACCCTTATAAATGGTGGTTTGTTCTCCTCCCAACCAATGTGGAACATCGCACAAATGGTATCAGAGTCAGACACCGAAGCTAAAACGGACAATATCTGCTAACAGTGAGCTTCACTTATTACAAATGGTAACAGAGCCAAACATCGAGGCCAAATGGGACAATATCAACTCGTGATATACTTCCACCTAAAAGGGATTGATATTTTCCCAAATTAAATAATTTAATTTGATTTATTGATTGAGGAAAAGGAGAATAGAGGGAGAAGTCCATAAAAGGGGGGGAAAGAGGACACCTGCGATTTGGAAGATATCCTTTCCTCAAAAGGCCGCCAGTCTCCCTCCTTCCTCCTTTTGTTTGTTATCACTTTCCCTCTATTCTGATTCCCTCCCCACTGACCTAAATCCATTCTCCACGACCTTCACCTCCGTATCCATGGTGGGCGACGGCCACTTTGTTCAGACGCCGCCCAATTCAAAGAAATCCAAGAAGAAGAAGAAGAAGCGAGGCGGCAGCAAGAAGAAGATGACTTCCGAGCAAACTGCGGCGTTTAAGTATGTCACGGAGTGGGTTTATTTGGATCAATCTAATTCTCTTGCCTCCACTGCTGCGGCGTCTGTGGTGGACGATTTTGGAGTTCAGAAAACTCTTGGCAAAGGTGGGGAGAAGGTCGTCTTTGAGTTGCATTCGCATTCCAAATTCAGTGATGGATTTCTTTCCCCTTCGAAGCTGGTGGAGCGAGCTCATGGAAATGGGGTGATTTTTTCTTGTTTTTTCTTCCTGTTTTTCTGCTTTGTTTACTCAACCTCTCGCTATTGAAATCCTTCTTGTCCCTGTCTGTTCTTCTGTTCTTATCCTGTTTCTTATCCTTCTTGTCCCTGGGGTGATTTTTTCTTGTTTTTTCTTCCTGTTTTTCTGCTTTGTTTACTCAACCTCTCGCTATTGAAATCCTTCTTGTCCCTGTCTGTTCTTCTGTTCTTATCCTGTTTCTGATATAGAATTTAGTCTCAAATTTACGTTAAAAAATGGGTGTTAGATGCAGAACAACACTTAACAATCTGTGCTACTTGTGAGATGAAACCTTTGGATTGCCAATATACCCTGTTTCTATTGTTCAGGTTTCTTCAGTAATCTGTGCTGTTTTTTAAAAAAATTGGTATTACATTCAACATACAAGAATTTTTTGTGGTCTAAAACATTTTTGTATAATTTTTTCAAGCATTACATTATTGGCCTTGTATTTTGTAGCCATATCTGTCATGCTTTAGTTAATTAGAAACATGTACCAACAACAGGTGAAAGTTCTTGCTTTGACAGATCATGATACAATGTCTGGTATCCCGGAGGCCATCGAAGCAGCTCGTAGATTCGGTATCAAAATAATTCCGGGTGTCGAAATCAGTACGATATTCTCTTCAGGGTGAGATCTTTGTTTCTTTTTCCCTTTTTGATGTTAAAATTCTGGAATTTGTATGCTATTCTAGTACTCCTCTCAAGGTACGTTTTGTTTGTATTAAAACTCTGAGATTTTCATGCTTTTTTAATACTATTTAATGCAACATTGTGTTCAGTTGTTGAAAATTTTGTTGAATTGTGCCATAACATTTGTGTCGAGTTTTCGTTTGAAATAACTTTTGACCTTTTGATACATGGTAACTGATTTGGAGCAGTAACTCAGAATCAGAAGAACCAGTACACATCCTTGCATATTACAGCAGCTGTGGACCAGCAAAGATTGAGAAGTTGGAGAAGTTCTTAGAAAATATAAGAGAGGGGCGGTTTTTGCGTGCAAAGAACATGGTGTCAAAACTGAATGAGCTAAAGCTGCCTCTTAAATGGGATCATGTAGCTAAGATTACTGGTAAAGGAGTTGCTCCTGGGAGACTCCATGTGGCTCGTGCCATGGTTGAAGCAGGCTATGTCGAAAATCTAAAACAGGCATTTTCTCGTTACCTTTTTGATGGTGGACCGGCTTACTCAACGTGAGAATCTGAACTTGCTGTGCTTTCTTTTATCATGGATTGTTGAACAATATTGATGCATCATGGCTAAATAAGGGTGTAATATATCATGCTCCATTTGTTTACCACAACCATCAGCATAGGCTTAATCCCTGCTACTTGAAGGCTATCATTTGAGTCATTATGTTCATAAAATTGAAATAGACGGTTCAAATCGATTTTCGTCCATAATTTTAAACAAGGTCACTAGTAAGTATGGCCACATGGATGTTTAAGTTACATATCTAGTTGATTTTGCTACATGTATATGTCTATTGTTCTTTCTCATTCATACTTAACTTCATGGGATGTGGAATTTCTTCAGCTTCTTTATGTGTAACGGCCCAAGTCCACCGCAGGTAGATATTGTCCTCTTTAGGCTTTCCTTTTTGGGCTTCCCCTTCAAGGTTTTTAAAACGCGTCTGCTAGGGAGAGGTTTCCACACCCTTATAAAGAATGCTTCGTTCTCCTCCCCAACATTCGGGGCTTAGCGTCCTCGCTGGCACTAGTTCCCTTCTCTAGTCTATGTGGGACCCCCAATCCACCCCCTTCGAGACCCAACGCCCTTGCTGGCACACCTTCTCGTGTCTACCCCCTTTGGGGCTCAGCCTCATTGTTGGCACATGGCCCGACATCTAACTTTGATACCATTTGTAATGGCCCATGCCCACCGCTAGCAGATATTGCCCTCTTTGGGTTTTCCCTTTCGGGTTTTTTCTCGAGGTTTTTAAAATGTGTCTGCTAGAGAGAGGTTTCCACACCCTTATAAAGAATGTTTCATTCTCTTCCCCAACCGATGTGGTATCTCACAATATGCATATGCATCTTTATCTGCATATGATTCCCGGAAAGAAGGAATCTAAGTTTACTTAAAATGCCAGGACATGAGGAGAGCTTACTTAATTTTCCTAGTTTAGTTTTGGATGAAACGAATCATATCACTTGTGAGCAGGCTGTGAATCTGTCTCTATGTTTCTGTACTTAACCTATGAGTTTAAGTCGGACTTTCTTTCTTGCTCACTATGAAGGTGGTGGCGGGATATGCATACTCGTTAGCCAAAATGTTTGTTATTTGGATTGGGGAAAAGTACGCCATCTTGCATCTTGCCCGGTTTTTAAACTGTAACAATGAGAATTAAGTTTATTTTTCAGGGGATCAGAGCCTTGTGCAGAGAAAGCAATACAATTGATACACGAAACGGGGGGTGTGGCTGTCCTAGCTCATCCATGGGCCTTGAAGAATCCTGTTGCTATCATTAGAAGATTGAAAGATGCCGGTCTTCACGGGCTGGAGGTTTACCGGAGCGATGGAAAATTAGCAGGTACACAATTCGCTCGGCCATTCCCTTTCCTCCTATTGATTGTCACATGAAATATTATATACTTTCTTGTTATGTTATAAGCATGCTCTTGTTTTTCCAGTATTCTAGAATGGTCTGACAAATTTGAGGCATGTAATGCATAGCTTGTTAAGAATTAAAGGCCCTTAGAGTATCTTCTCATATTGAACACAAGAACATGTTGCCATTTTTCCCGGCCCGTGTATTGTTCTTTTAGCTGTTTGGATCGGTTTTCAAATATCTTGACATAGACAATCGACATTGAATTCATATGTTTGTCGATTGACAGCGTACAGTGACCTAGCAGACATGAATGGGCTTCTAAAACTTGGAGGATCAGATTTTCATGGAAGAGGTGGAAACAGTGAATCTGAAGTTGGAAGTGTAAACCTTCCTGTTCTTGCTATGCACGACTTTCTTAAGGTCGCTCGATCAATTTGGTGCAGTGCCATTCGAGACATTCTCGAGAGTTACGTCGAAGAGCCTTCAAACTCAAATCTAGCAAAAATTACCAGATTTGGAAGGACCCGGGTTTTGAAGGGTGGCTCCCCACCGCCGAGCTGCGTAAATGACATCATCGATCATTGTTTAAATTCGTGGCTGACGAACGAAGAGAAGCAAGATGCCGAGTTTGAAGCTATCAGATTAAAGCTCTCCCATATTTCAATGAAACAACAAGAAGTTAAGGTGCCTTAAGAGTTCATAACACTAACCAGGGTCGATCATGAAATACTCGCTCGTCGTGCTAACATAGTCGACATGTGGATCAGATTCAGTAAGTTTTTTGTACTTTCCATAGTTACTGTTCTTTTGACGGGGAAAGCAGGTTGCAGTAAATGATTCGTTGAGGTACATCGACGAACGAAAAGCTCCGATTATCGTAAGTTATATACTTATTGTTCAAATCAATAAAACTTCATTCAATCTCTTGCAAGTATTTTGTTCATTGTTTATGTATTTAATTGGATCTCCATGCCTACACCAATCTTTTGGCAATGTTGAAAATGAAAAAGGACTTGTTGGAAGAGTTTTTGTGCTTAATTTTTCTTTTAATCTCTCAATAGGTTTGCTATTCTCGGAGTTAAATTAATAGAAATATCATTGAAATTTGCATTCTATCTCGAAATTATCTCTAAATTTCTAAAAGTTGAATCGAAACATTTAATGTTTTATTTAAAAAATACACTTTCAAAAGCGTTTTATTAATATTCTTAAATTTTAAAAAAATTAAAAAATATCTTTAATTTTTTTTTAAAATGTAAAAATATTCCATCATATTTCAAAAATACTATATTTCATGATTATTTTTAAGATATAGTTTTTCGATAAATGTATTTTTAAATTTAAAGATATTTCATCTGAGAAAGGGTATTTTTTAGTTTTTTTTTTTTTTAATTTTAGATAATATTAAAAAATTTGAAATTTTATGATATTTTTATTAATTTAGTTTAAATTTTTTTAAAAACATTTTTAAAAATTTGATTTGTTTTTAAATTTTGGTTGAATTTAAATATGATTTTAAAGAAGGTTTAAAGTCTTAAAATAAATATATAATTGTTTTTAGATATTAAAGTTTTAGTTTGTATAAAAACAAGAAATTAAATCGGACAAAATTTTCGAATCGTCATCCATTGCCGCAAAATCGAACCAGTTCATCGATCGAATCCGCCATGAGTCTGGCACTTCTCCAAGGCTATTCTTCGGCCGAGGAAGAAGCTGAAGACACCTCTGTCTTCAACAACACCTCTTCCGACGATGACGACCAAGATCTTGTCGCAGCCGCCTCTACGGTTACCGTCAATCTTTCAGTACGCGACAGGTCGCTTTTCGAACTTCCGCAGCCCTCCTCTCATCACGGCCTCCCTTCCGCATTCGACGCCTTCTCCGAAGTAAGCTTCTTTTGGTAATCTCTGTGTTCTTTTTTTTCTGCAAGTCTGTTCGGTTTAACGAATTTGGAAACTGTTCTTTTTACTGATTTTGTCATCTTTGGGCTACCGGAGGTTTCAGGACCGCCGGAGTTTCTGAATAATTCGGTTGAGGAGTTTGCTGCGCCGAGAGATGTTGATCAGCTGCGAGGGGGCCGGAGGAATCGTAGGGAGAAGAAAGATTTGCCTACTGGTATGGGCTCAGTTACTTAGTGTTCGTTTATTGTCATGAGTTTGTTAAGTCTGTTAAGAAGTAGAAGGGAAGAAAAAAAAAATTCTGGAAAACTAGGTTTGAATCTTTGATGAACATCAATTTCCTAATAAAGAGAGGAAGAGGAAGAATGGGTTTGTTTGAGAGAACCTTGGCCTCCTATTGTGCTACCTTGAGGGCTCTGCCGTCCTCTCATTAAAACGTTGACCAATAAAACCCTAAAAGTTGGGAGGACTAGAACATATACTTACTCAAGCTCCACCTTATATTTGCTCACTTCTAAATTTCCCTTGCAGTTGGTTAAACACATGATTGGATCAACTAAGGAATCTAAAAATAACATGATTTTAATACTAAATAGCATAAGTTTCACCAGTTAATACCGAGAAACTTTGATGTCACCTTTTTATTTTCTTAACAGAAAACTTAGGCTTTGTTCGATAACCATTTGATTTTTGGAAGCACAACTTTCTTACAATAGTTTTCATCTTTTTTAAGAAAATATTTGAATTCTTAGTCAAATTCCAAAAACAAAACAAATGTTTAAATGCTACTGTTTTTAGTCCAAACTTGGCTTGAATTTCTTAAAGCATTTGTAAAAAGTAGATAACAAACTGAACTTGTTGGTGGAAATAATGTTACTAAACATAATTTTAAAAAACAAAGGTCCAAAAAATCAAATAGTTATTAGATAGAACCTTAGTTACTTGATTTCTGCCAATTAATTACATTTTCTATTGCTAGCCAGTGATGGCTCTGAGTCTTGGGTGTGGCCCCCTGATTCCTTGGGTTCCTTTAGCTTTAGATCTATATTAATTCCACCAAAAGGGTCAAAAAATTTATCTGGGAAATTCTGATAGTGTGCATTGTTACATTAAACAAGGGTCAAGAGAGAAACCCTCCTTTGACATATTTCAAAATCCCATGGTTTCTCTACAATGCATGGCGTGAATGTTTCTCAATAAGTTAAGAGTATTTCATTATCATGTACCTTGGCCATATATCTAAATGTGCTTGGTTTTTATTCATACATGTCCATTTTGTCCACCTGTGTGTGCTTTGGCTTCCTAGCTTGTTCATTGTTGTAATCCAAATAATGATCTAAGAATGTTTTATGATAATAAAAACCCCTGTAGCAATCAATAGAATACAATCTAGTATCCAAGTTTGAAGACAACAATTTTTCTGTAAGAGAATGAACAAAAAGAGGAAAGATATTCATAATATTATATGTGCATTTGTTCAAGGGACAAAAAGCCCTCAAAGGTAGTGGAGATAGAAATTGATGAAATAAAATGTTAGAAAAAATTGACAAGTATGGTGCTAAAAATGCAACAATGTGATCAGAATTGGAAAATTTTCTTGCTCTATGAAGTTTGAAGAGGGAAGTCAGAAAATGGAGATGGATCAAAGGGTCCACTAAAAACTACGGAACCTTATCATTCTTTACTTCGACAGTTGCCTAACTTGCAAGGAAATGTGTTCATTGCATTCAAACTACTACATTGTGAATACTGGAGACTGCAACGAATCAACTTGCTTTGTCAGTGATTGGGCAATGGTGGTTCGCATCATCTTGCTAATTAGTGGTATAGGCAAGTTCATATGGTTGTATAAAAGGATGTACTAAAGTAATTTATGAAATGAGACCGTATATGTGTTTAATCATGTATAGTTTCTTTGACTAGACTGTACATTGCTCTACTTCTATATCTCTCAACTGGTGGAAAAAACCGATGCCGACGGTCATGCTATGAAGTATTCTATTCTCTATGTATAATTATATGTATTTACGTATAAAAATACTTCTATTGAACACCATGCGTGGCTTTTGCCATTAGGTAAGCATTAAGCTTCTCATTTTAGAAGAGTCCATGATCTGAACTTGTTTAATTTAATGCCAAATGGTTTGTTTATGATTTATCAGGATTTTCGTTAACTGTCTGACTGTATAAACAATATTATTGCTGCAATGGTGCTTCCTTATAGTAGTTTGCATTTGGCATATTCCTTTGTTCATGCACGGGCTGTATATCCACTAGCGGCACGAGAGTAGAATCAATTGGCATCTTCCATGAAGGGAATAGGTTAAGTTCAGTGTCACTATTTTCAATGCTGTTCCAATTAGTTTATTTGATTGAATACAGGTGGAAGGAATAAATGGAGTAATCCAAAGAGAGCAACAGTTTATAAAATTATTTGCAATTATGTGGGTCGATGTTTGGCATCAATTAAACTTCTTGATTGTACCTTTTTTATGCATTTTTGCTGTATTCTTTATTGTTTTCAAGGGAAGCAAGGGTAAAATGAAGATTGAACTGTGAACAGGTGCGGTATTGGAGGCAAAAGCTCAATTAGTTGGGATTCATGAGCGAGTGAGGAGTGATGTTGAGAATAATCAACCTTCAAATCCATCCATTTCAAACACAACACAGACAGGCAAGCGCGTGGCGACTGCAACCAATCCAAATGCTGAAGATGCTGCAGAACTGCTAAGGTACATTTATCGCATTTTCAAAATTGTATCCTGGTTGAGTGACATTATTTCATTCCTCATCAATCCGTATGTACACGCATGCATAAAAAGAGAGAGAGACAAGAAAAGAGTCCTGCTAGTGGTTTCCGGGTAGAGAGTGTCAATTTTTAAAAATTTGATATTTCGAATTAAACGTATACTTTTCTTCTCTTCTTTGAAATCCTGACGTAAATCAAAGCTGTTTTGCACTGAACTCAACTGTTCGTAGTAGTATCTATAAGTTTCTCGTGCTGATCTTGCCATTTTTTAACGGTATCGTGTGATTCCTTTTCCAGAATGTGCCTGCATTGTGGCATTCCCAAGACCTTTTCAAATGCACGAGGGATGTTTTGCCCTCTATGTGGTGACCGTCCTCCAGAACCAGAACTAGAACCAGACAGTGAGACGAAAAAGAAGGGCTCGACGGTCAAAGATAAGGAAAAGATAAAGAGAATGAGGGGACAGTCATCTCATGCTACTTGGAAGAGTGAAACCGAGATGCAGCTGAGGCAACAGTTTGATTAGAGTATGTTATATATGTCTTTGAGCTCTTGGAGATTTGTGATAGATATAGTGTAAGCATGATTATTCATACCAATCTGTGATATTATCATGTCTGGTTTATGTAGTTAGTATTAGTGGTACCCAGCAGTTTGTTTTGACAAACCAAAATGTTTCCTTGCTAGTTAGTTCATTCTTGCTTTTGGCTACTCTCTCTCTCTCTCTCACACACACACACACACAATTTCCACTCTATAGTGTAGCTTGACCTTCCAGAATGGCATTGAATTCACAGAATTTTCCCCATCATGTAACTCGACCTTTGGGGACGATGTTGAGTCGAACGCCACTGGCCAAATAGCAAGGTTAGGGATGGTTAGTGCTTTGCCCCAAATTTGGCTTAAGCATGTTAGCATTGGGTTGTTGTGTCTTGTTGAATGTCCATCCAAGTGCCAGGGGTTTCTAACCCCAACTCTTTGGATTCATCTTGGAGTTGTTGTAGGAAGGGCTTTCTATCAGTATGTATCGAGCTTGATATTGTGCTTGCTTCCTTATTTTTGGTCGTTTTTGAGGGATTGGCAAGAAGATTGTATGAGTGGAGGAATTGCTGGAGATTGTTTTAATTCGGTGGATAGTTTAAAAAGGTGTAAAAGTATTTTGAATTTGTATTATTTGGCTACATTATTACGGTCTTATCCAGTACTTTTTTTTTTTTTTTTGACAGGTTATAATCCTCGTCTTTAATGGATTCATTGTTCAGAGATCGTTTGGTTTATCCTTCTAGAAATTCATATTATAGTAGGTGACTCGTTCCCAACAATTTGTCCATTCATCTTTATATTGTGAAATGAAGTGCACTTGAAATGTTTATCTAACTTTTGATCGAAATGATAGCCATTTGCATATACTTTGGATGAAATCTGGGTGTTCTCTCTTTTAGGGAGCTCGTCTGGTTTTGGATAAATAAAAATGCTTCATTTTCATTAAGTAGGCTCTTAAGGGTCAAATTAATTAAACTAATATTATGAATATAAATGCAATTAAGATCAATAAAATGAAGGTCGACTAGGTTTTTACTTTGAAACCATTTCCAACTCCCATGAGAACATGAAAAGTTCGCAAAAGAAAACAAAAAAATGACGCCTTGATGAAATAAAAAATAAAAAAGATTTTTTTACCTTGAAATTAAATTGAAATCAAATAAAAAAAATCATGGGAAATTGGCAATTAAGTTGAATGCCCAATCTAAAAACAATATCAAAGCTCTTATTGAATGTAATGGCATGATCGGGTGGGTTCTTAGCTCCCTCTCCAAGTCTCTCTACACGGATCATGACGTCGAACAACCATTGAATTGTGGATTTTCAAAAAGGGGCAAGCGTCGAAGAAGATTTGGATCATGGAGGACAAGGGCAAAGGAACGGACAGATGGACCGGCGCCGTTGCCAATCTAACTGAGATGGCTTCCAACTTGGAGTTATTCCAGAAGCTTTTACTCAAGAAAGCCGTCTATGTCGACGACGAGACGTTTGCCAGAGCTTCATTGTGCTCCCAACAAGCAAGGACGATCAAGGTTACTAGATTTTTTTTTTTATTATTTTTTATATTAATTGTTCTGTAGTTGGGTATTTTTAATCTGATATTTGGTTTGGAATTTCGATTTTGCTATTTGAAATTTGGCGGAGTGAGGAATTGGTGAGATTTCTTGACGGTGGTTATATTGAATTCCCCTCGTATTACCGATTTAAATGTTGATTTTCATGCTATGTAGTGGAATCAGAGTGATATACATGTTAATCACGGTTGCTTTGATATCTAATATATGGTTTTAGATTTCAATTTTGCTATGTAATGGGGGAATTGGTGAGTGAGGTAGCAGCTTTGGCAGATTCAGCGAGGAAGAATCTGGAGGCGGTTAGATAGGAAGTCATTCTCTTAAATAGATCCTGTCTAGATGCCATTTTGAATGTCGGGTTTTCGAAGAACAAGGAGGTACATACACCTGATCTTCGAAGACCTTCCTGGAGAAATGGAGGCACTATGTAGAGTAGTAACTTCAGCTGAGGGAAAGCCCAAAGAGGACAATATCGGCTAGCCGTGGGCTTGGGCCGTTACATCATCCAAATGAGTGGTTGCAGATGGCAATGATTGAGGGATATTAAGCAAATAGATACAAATATAATCACTGGGTTTGGATAATTCAGGGATGAGTTCAAGGAGTCAGTTTCTCCTGTACAAACGACAAATATGTGGGACCTCATTGGGCTTTTGTAAGATTATTTTAGATAGAAAAATTCATTTACTTATCTCTTGCATTCTATCTTTGAATTCAGCTATTTTATTATTGGCTTATGATGATCGGGTAAAACATCACACGCCACTATGTAAAGATCAAATATCATATTACATGAGCTCAAGTGATGCTCTTTGTTGAGATTACAAGCCATTTGGTTATTGTTTCTTACAAATTTGTGATACAATTTTGCCCACTGGTTATGATAGTGAATAATCTTTTGTTAGGTTCTTGATCAAAGGGTTGAGACTTTGGAAAGGGAACTTGATGCTGCTATCACTGCTGCTGCTCATGCTCGTTCAGAAAAACGTCAGGCTGAGGCAGCACAAAAAGCTGCTGAACTACACGTGCAGGAGGTCACTCGAGAGCTCGAGAACACTACAAGTACGGATATCCTACTCTTTTAAATTTTTTCATAGCATTCTTTTTCTTTATTCAACTTAAAATCTGCAGTTTTATCTGTTGAGCAGCAATCTGTCTATTTGGCCTTTTGGATGTGGGGGTCTGGTTGTGTTATGTCAGAGTCTTGTGGTTTAAATGACATTGTGACACACACACACACACACACACACACACACACATATATTTTATCATAAATGTCTTTGAGGAGAGTCTTGTGGTTTAAATGACATTGTGACACACACACACACACACACACACACACACACATTTTATCATAAATGTCTTTGAGGAGAGGGGTGTTCTTTAAAATTACTATGTTCATGTTAATGAATGATAATGCTGAGGTTCGTAACTAATAGTGGTTTGGAATAACATTTGAAAAAAATGAAAATAAAATCGATTTTTCAATATGCACGCTTCAAAAAATTAATAATTGAAAGTGTGTTTAGTATAGCTTATTGAGTGATTTTAGATGATTGGAAAGTGCTTAAACTAGAAAGTATTCTAAATAGACCATAAATATATTGATTCCTATGCTGCAGAGGTATTTCAACTGCATATGGATGAATTGCGCGCGAAGCAGGAAGAAATCAATAAACGTGATCAGGATATTAAGCTCTTGGAAGCAATAATTCAGACTCTTGGAGGGAAAAAATGACGTTCAGCAAATCTGTGAGGATTTGGTTTTTATAGTTAGAGCCCTGGTACCTTTTTCTTTTCTTTCGGTGTAAATTTTTTTATGGATAATCTGACTGAGCTTAATTAGGAACACTATATGGATAATCTGACTGAGCTTAATTAGGATCGTAGTGTATATTATATTATTTTGAATAAGTCGAGACGTGTCTTGTTTATAAAAACATGGATAAATAAAATTCAAATCATTTTTTATTTGCGAGTTATTCCCTACCAATGTCTTCTACTCTGATAGTAAATGAAAATTGGAATTATACAAAGTTTTAGTTCTTGTGCATCTTTTTGTGGATATGTTGAAAATTGTCCGAAACAGTTTTTATGGGTTTGGAGTTATCATTTTATAGTTCATAATTTTATGAGGAAAATACTTTGTTGTTACTTCAAACAAACCCAAAAGAAACAACCATGGTGGTCAGCTGCACTTTGCTTGAGCAGACCTGAAAGACTCAGCCAAATCGAAACGAAACCTCCCTTAATATTGGATCTAGGGAATGAGTTCGAATTATGGTGATTACCCATTTAAGATTTAATGGTCTGCGAGTTACATTGACTATCAGAGAACAGTCAACGTGCTCGCAAATTGGCTTGGACACTTGTGGATATAAAAGAAATGTAATCTAGCGAATACTTAGTCAGCTCAACCCTTCAGTAATAAGTAGAAATTCCACTAACCTCATTGTCTGATTTGTGATATGTTTAGTTGCATTACTGTTCTTTGTTACCATAGAACTGAAACTCAGTTATTGCTCACAAAGTTATTAAACTCCAGGCCTACATCAATAACTTTCAATATCCTTATTTTAACCTCTTTGCCCCACCATACACAGAATCAGCTTCTCCATTCCCTCTTCTTTTCTTCACGATGATGCTTTTGCCTGATTCTTGAAATTGGGAGCCACTTATTGTTTGACACTTGATGTTTTCATTCTCAATAGCCTAACACCTTGCGATGGGTGGTGATCAGGTGCTAGTGGATATTGTCAAGTCAATAGGCATGATATCTGCATATTAATTTCTCTTTCTAATTCCTAATCCAACGTCCCTTCTGTGCTAGCATTCTGATAAAGGCCCATCCCTAGAATTATTACTCCCTATAATTGATACTATCTTTTTGAAGTACAGATAAAACCTACCAATTATTTATGCATTCGATGATTTAAGTTTCGTTTGATAACGTTTTGGTTTTTAGTTTTTGAAAACGATACTTATTTTCTCATCATTTTTCTATTTGGTTTCATCTTTTTTAAGAAAATATTTGAATTTTAAAAGCTCCACTTCCAAACACATCTGAACCTACCTTTTTCTCTTTCTAATTCCTAATCCAACATTCCTTCTGTTCTAGCATTCTGATATAGGCCCATCCCTAGAATTATTATTCCCAATAATTGATACTATCTCTTTTGAAGTAGAGATAAGACTAACCAATTATTTATGTATTTCAATGATTTAAGTTTCATTTGATAACGTTTTGGTTTTTAGTCTTTGAGAACGATACTTGTTTTCTCAAAACAAGTTTTGGAAAACTTTTTTTTTTTAAAACTAGACTTGTTTTTTAAAATATATGTAAAAAGTAGATAACAAAACTAGGAAAACTATTGGTAAAAGTAGTATTCATGGGAATACCATCATCTTTAGCCTCTCAAGACCCATCTCCACTTCCAAACACACTCCCTTCATCCCCACTACTAACAATGTTCATCAAATGGCTACTGGGCCAAAGGCTAGGCTTTTTAACTAAAAGTCCTGCTATCTGCTGTTTTTACATCTGCATCTATCCCTTATTAATCCAAATAGTTTTCACCGCCAGAAGTTGAAG